GAGAAATGATCAATCCGATCCGGGGATCATGAAAGGGCAAAAGACTGGTCTAGTCTGCTGAAACTCACTACAACAGTGAGAAAGTAGCAAGTAATAACTGTACACAAATGGAGAGTTGCATCTTTCTTAACTAGAAAATGAGCGTGTCGTGTACATTCATGTACTTGATATCATTGATATCTATATACCAGCATGCTAAAAAATGCAATCCCTGTTCGATGCCCAGATTGAGCAGGTGCAGGTAGCAGCAAAGCTTGTCAGCGGAACAGTATCCAAGGAAGTTGTCAACACGTTGCTCAACTGTTTCTAAAGCGACCCAAGCAACATCTTACTAAAGTATGTTTGACTGTCCCAGAGTAGAAAGACCTCAAAAACATCGTGGGGAAAAAAGCAACTAAGCCGCTTGTTTGGATCCAGGCTGTCCTTGATCTTGAGATACACTAAACCACACATTATCATCTGATGGAAATGAGGGAGTCGCTGAATACATCTCTGAATACCCTCCCAAGTGACCTCAGGCCAACAGGCACACTTGAACCTTTGCGGTGTTCAAATTGATTCACTTGATTCTTCCAGATTCCAACTGCTACATTCTAAGTCTGATTGGACCCAGGTGAGCCTACCCAAACCCCGAATCTTTGAACCAAGCGGAAGGTGTCAGTGGCTTGTCAGGGATCAACCGGGGCAGCGGTTGTCACACTTCGGAGATGTCACTGTTGTCGACCGGGAAAAGTGTAAGACTCCAAGACTGACTCTGGTCATTTTTCCACCTGCCATAGTCACCAGATCTTGCCTCTCCATGGATTCCCTGCCAAAAACTTAGTTTGTTTATAATGATTGAGTATCAGTATTTAATATCTTGTATATAATTACGTACACCAAAGGGGCTGAGGGTCTCTCAGAGTGCACCGAACCTGAGGACGGTCAAGAAATGTATGACGACTTTCTGCGTTGACTCATGGTTACAGCCTCAACCAAAAGACCTGTAATTCTGTGTCGATCGGGTTCCCATGGAGAATTCCAAGAATGTTCGCTTCATCATTTGTCATCTCTTTTTTCTTCCCGGTTACCATAGAACCTCACAGGACCACAGAAATCCCCACCGGCGCTGAGCCAGGTGACCCACATCAATGGCGTTTGCCGCTGGGGTCCCACGGAGTCCACTGTAATGCCCTTCTGCACGAGCCGCTCCACGAACTGGGCCTTGCGGCTTCACCCATCGTTTGGGCGTCCAACTCGTTTGGAAAACACAAAGGGGGCGAGTCGAAAATCTGAAAGGATGTAGAGAGCCTAAATCCTTTTTTGTGGCACGCGACTCATTGTGTTTTTCCAAATGCGCCAAATACCAACACCTGCAGTGTCCGCCAAATTCCCTGTGAGGCAAAAGTAAATGAGTATATATTGAGGAGAGGTTTCTGGAATGGAGATGAAAGGGAAATCATATAATATAAGTCATCATTGCTATGTCGTCTAGGAGGGCTTGGATGATTTATTCATATCAACAAGGTTGCTTTAAACGCCTAAGCCTCTATTCACAAACTCTTGGAACAACAACTTTTGGAGCTTTATTGAAGTTTTTCCCTTCCAACATTTTATAGCAACGAACCCAGTTGAGGGAACGTCAAAGCGAGTGCGCCGTATTCTTTCGAATCCATGATTTGTCGGCAATCACTCCTGCATTGTGTCAGAAGAATCGGTATGTAAAAGTTGTAAAGGATCAAGTTCTCCACCTAAATTCTGAGTTCCAGGCCATCTGAAACCAATATTCTGCCAAAATGTTGAGTTGCTCAACGATCCTTTTCGCTCAAAAAAAGTGGTGACTTTGTATCTGGAGTATTAAGGGGCAGTTTTCTCAATCAATCTAGGTTTTGGGACAAACGACTGCAAGAGACATTGGCTGAATAAGAGACACATGTCCAGCAAAACACACATACTGAAATAAATGATTTCCATTGTTCACAAGGTCTTGGGCTACACTAGTTCGTCGTGCAAACTTCTGAAACTTATAAACATCGACTAGTCACGTAATAGTAACGCCGGCAAATTATATAAGGCTCTTGGGCCGCATTGACGAGGGTTGTCCCCATGGTGGAAGGCGTTGCAAAGAACTGATTCAGATTCCGCAGGTTCCCAGGTTTCTTCAGGTTCCAAACAAAGCTTCTACACGCAAATCATGTTGGGAGTAAACAGGGATCCAGTGAGTGATGGAGATCCTCTAGCTAGCTTTAGTCCTGGATCGTTGCGGATTACAACATGTTCATTAAGTTATTGTAGCTGCACCCAAATGGGCTTTAGGTAGCCCGGATTTAAAACAATATTATAGATTCTATAGATCAATCTGTTGCCGACTTGGCGGCCTTGTAACTCTTGGGCGAGTGGACTTTCTGGATTGCTACCTGGCGTATATAGCTTGCCAGTCCAGTGCAGCCAAGAAATTAGACCTACTGTATGGATTATGGATTAATTCTCTCCTGTATCCCCTGCTAAGCCAAAGTGCATCATCTCTCATGGCTGCCCAATGCAGCAAGGACGTGCCATCAGATTCCGTCGCCTGCGGTCAACCAAGCGTTACAAAGCACTTCAAAAGTCTCAAGCTACCGATCACAAGACTCACTTCCCTGAAAAGCTGATAGGGTGCCCTTATTCTTGAGGGTCTTTGGAGTCTCACCCACCGAAGTGAAATCATTTATATATATAGTTTAATAATGTTTAATATATATATATATGCCATCCAAAGCACATAGCATACACTGGACCCTCCAAGTCAGTTCCAGTATAGGCAGTATAGGATCATCCAAAATAAAGTCGGGAACTTCAAGCATGCACCTCTGTTCATCTTTGCAGTGGGTAGATGGAGCATTTTCAATTGCCACATGTGTTGTGGTCAGCAGTGTGATGGGAGCTCTACCCAAAACCTGCAAGGGCGTGATTGCGTCCTCACTATTCAGCCAGCCCCAAGTGCCTGCCAAAGATGTGGAAACTCTTCCAACAGACCTCCAAGCCGTTCAAACTTCCCGCGCTCAGCCTGATCAATCAGCATTTGCACCGAGTACCGGAGACATCAAGGGACCCTGTCTTGCACTCAAACCACTAGTCACTCGGCTCATCGGGACAATCGCCTCATCAAATTGCCTCGAAGTGTCTCACCTCCGCCATCCCTTATCAACACCCACAGGATAAGGCCAGAAAGGCAAATTTAGGTTTCCTCTACCTACCAAACCGGATCACCAGGAAGCAATTTCTGTGCACAGTCACATCTATAATTTGTTAGACCATGCTACGGTCAACAGTAGCTCTGGTACCACAATCCAAAGCAACAGTTTGCAAAGGTTTGACATCTGTGCTCTGTTCAGAAGCAGAAAGACAGGGAAACTGCATGCTGTGCCCCCAGTGGTGGATTCAGCATTTGACCCACAAATGCGACCTTGTTCCCCCTTGACCATAAGAAATTGCCACATCACCAAGGAAGTAGCCTTCTCAGCTGTTGATTGTTCATCGTTGTTCAGGCCCTGGTAAGACTGTTTCAATCAACACAGGCAAATGATTGACACATCCATGCCATCGCAGCCCGCCGTTGAGACAATACAAGTGGATCATCACAACAAAAACTGTGGAACTCGATGGAACTCGTCATATATAAGTTCGGGAATCACACTCTCAAAAGTGGCTGTACCAATGGAATCCGGAAAAGCTTTGACTTCTACATGCAGCCCAAACCTGGGACATCATCTCCAGAACAGGATTCAGGCCTCGATTCTCCGAAAATGATTCCAGTCTTGGATGTCTCAATTCGCCGTTAGATGCCCATACCCAGAGATTCAGCCAGCCACGCACAAGCATTGGAGAACGCGGGATGACGAAGGCAGTGGTGCACCGCAAAGCTAGCTTCTCTTAGAACAAAAAGAGCAAAGGAAAAGGTCTACGGTCTACGTTAAGATGGCAGCGGAGTTAAGCCGTGAAGGGCAGGCCAAACCCAGGCTGATCTGAGGTGATGAACAGCAAATTTTGGTCAAGCAGATCCGGCAGGGATACCAGCATAAATCAAGTACGTATCGCTACATGCTTCCTGCCACATCTAGGTTTGCTCTGCTCTCAGGCATCTTTCATTTTCTATGTGAAACATTGTAGAACATAGACAAAATTCTCGAGAGATCTGCAATCAAGGCAAAACAAACTACAAAAAAGATCCTGGGCGCTCATCCCAGGGCACAGCCTTTTCATGCTCACAAGGAGCCCATTGTGGCGGACAACGGGACACTGTGATTTGGGAAACCAGTCTTTCTACTGACTGGACTGTACGGGTTGGTTGCTTGAGCTGAAGGTCAGCAACCAATGTCTTAATTGCCCAGCGGCTCCAGCTACTGTCGGGGCGAGTGAGGTCTAAGAACAAGACAAGGGCTGGGACCCTCTGCTTCCGCAGCTGGAATTCGCTGTTGCAGTGTCAAGTCCTCCCTTAAAAAAGATCAGCAGTCCTTGACAATACGTCCTCAAGAATGTGTGGAACCTCCCTCTTGCATAACCTTTTCAGCTTCACCCACAAAAATTGCACTTGTTGCATAGTTCTTGAAAGGTTCGCAACATTCAGAAACCCAAGCCCCACGTCATACAAAAGGTTTGCGTGGGCGAGGGTCTGGGCATGTCTTTCAAGCAAACAATCTTAGCAGCGCCAAACAACTGATGCTGCCTTTCACTTGAAGACCTGTACAGCAGAAAGAACGAAGCAGCATAGAGTCTAGGCAAGGGGCATGAACAGGGCATTCAATCCAATCCTCTACTACCTTCAAAAAGAGCAAGAACACGTGAACACATTGCTTGCAATTGGCAATGTAGTTTATCTTTCTTGATCTTCACAACCTCATATAACTTCATCATCACGATAGACGTGTTCATGCCGAACGTTGATACTGTACAGATTGCTGCGGGTGATTCATGTGGGACTTCGCAAGGGTTCTGTGGGTCCTTCGGCAAGAACTGGTTAGGTCACACGAAGGCGTGGGACGTCAGGAGAGGCAGGGGAAGACGGCAAAGTCCTGCATTCGGTGGCACATCAATTCGATAAATTGTTTTAATTGTCATATTGCTTGATGTGATTCCTTTTCCTTTATTGGGTGAGATTTGGCCAAAGTCAGCTAAAGGCCCTATTGTACCCATCTCTGACCAAAGCAACTGAAAACTAAGGATCCTTGGAGTGAGCCTTAGAGGCACGACGATAAGCCTTGGCCAGTTGGCGGTTGTGATACTTCTTGTTCCTGAGAGCAGTTGGCCGCGAAAAACAGGATTCTAAAGGAGAAACCTGAAACTCGTAACTCCAGAAGCCGTAGCAAGAAAGGTACCAGTGATGTGTCCTTTCGGTCCAGATTGGCCTAATGTAAACACTTGCGAGAACTGGCCACTTGTCGGGCTTCTTGCAGGTTCTTTCCTGCAAGGTCAGTGCTGTCCAAAGCAGGCTGAGACTTATATCCCACCCCTCACCAACTCGCCGGATGCGAAGACCAAGAATACGCCGCTAGCTAGTGGTCCCAACCCCGCGGTCTTGCCGAACCTATTTTACAGAACCAAACACGACCAAACAATTGAACATTCACACAGTTGAATACCAAAACACTGCAATACTACTCATTATTGAAAGCAACTCATCAGGTACATAGAAATGTGTTTTCTTCATTGTCCAAAGAATCTGCAAAGCACCTGGGGAGCAAAGATGACAATGTTGGCACTCGCTTCCTTAGAATTTAAGCGATGGACTCCATTGATGGACCATCTTGGGGGGAGACAGAATGGTTTTGCCTCCAAATGCGTCCATGGCCCAAACGAGTGGCTCAGTAAGTAAAACAAACGCTGTAATTTCGAAGTATGATGTGTAACGACGTCGTTTGCTTGGAGAAGCCAGCGAGAGTTTATATTGCGTAAGGTGAAGTTCTGGTAGATCAACCACATACAATCATATATATATATATTGTATATACACATCACAGTAATTATTTGGTCATAAGATGTCATAAGCAATGTAAGATGGGAGAATTATGAACACTTGCCTTTGCATATTTGGAGAAAATAGGTCTTGTCCTGAAATCTGGAAGTCTCACCTGGTTTCTGCCATTCTCTTCTTGTAATTACTCACCTGAATGTGGAGTTTCCTTGTCTGTCTATTACACAGCATGGTACCCCTTTCCTTCCAGGTGGTACAGTACAGTGCAGTAACGCGTAGAGTAGAGTGCAGTAACAAGGCAATCCCTTCAGAGGGAAGTTGGAGGATCCCTAGTGAGAGGCAATTGGAAGGGCAGCGAAACCAGCTAGATTGGTTGGATACAATCACTTGCCCAAGCAATCATCCAAATTCAATGGGTGACTCATTTAAGATCGTTTACAAAGCCTGGGAAAAGGGGGCAAGCGGGCAAGTGGGGTGTTCACGTTGGATGGTCCTGCACATGGCCAAACGACGTGTTGAAAACACAATGTTCCGGTTACAGGTGAACTTGCTCATCATAATGGACATTCAGTGCTTACACTGCTGAACTCCGGACCGCGGTTTGCACTGGAACATGGTTTGGAATGTATTGATCTGCTTCGGGTGTCACACACGGCACTGAAACAAGTGATCCAAGACAAGAACCTGTCCGTCTGGGGAAAGACTAACCAGTCTTGACAAAACAAGTAACCATCTTGATGAGATGAGTGGAAACCCATCTCGAACAGTCAATCACGAAGACCCTGTAACGGAAAGTGGGAAGCGCTATTGTGACTCTTCATGTACGGTATTTGATCACGAAGCCCCTGTACGGGCTTCTGGACCGAAGTATGATCAACTTGAAGATCCTGCATAGGCAGGGGATGCTGGAATGGCTTGAACCCCAGGCGTGCCAAGTTTCTACTTTTGACCCACAGCCCAGACCGTATGACAAACATTATTAATGCCATCCCGCACAACACGTCGCTAGAGAAAGCATTGTCGTTGGAGCACCAAAAAACGATCACGCGCTGCAAACAGCAAAAAAGTTGGAAGTCTCATCTTCATCTGTCAACCCTCCTTGGAGGTTCCCAAAAGCCAAACTGCTGCTTTACTTTCTTGGAGCAGCATCGGCCTTGACACTCCGGATCACTGCCAAGACTCCTCTGAAGCAGCTGCCCGGCCGCCAAAACCATGCACAAGGCTTGCAAAGGCCGTGCACATGTAAAGAAGATCCCACCGACCATGTCGCGCCACCTGGCGTGATTCTGCAATGACTTGGACCTTTGAGCATTTGAACATGCACAGCGTGTAAGTGTTTTAAGGCAACTTGGTCAATAAACAACTGGTATGTTTCCGATACAATATCTATACAATATACTCTATACATTACACATGCAACACAGCAGCTTTACATGGGATGAACCTTATATGGATATGTGATATGTATATTCACAAATATTTGTTTTTGTTCACCACAACTACATGTTTCTTGGGTTATGGATGGGGTGTGCACTCTAATGACCGCACCTCATTGCACCACAAACAAGGATAGATCACCGACCAATTGCCAAATCTGGAACTGTTTGAAGCCTTTCAGGAGGATCTCTTCTGAGTGAAAAGCCGCGTGGGAGCCACTTCGTTCTTTTTTAAACACAATTACAAACAAATGCGATCAAATGTGTCTCTCACCTCCGGCAAAGAACATGACGGAAGCTGGTCGACTGTTGAATAATAAAGATTGTTGGCCAAAGCTTTTCGACACGACAAACTTCCCCCCCATCCCACCTTCACCTGCTTCACTTCCGGAGATAAGCTCCCGCTCGAGGCTCGAGTGAAGGCTACTGCAAGTACTTAAGCGCTCCACGCTGCGTTCGTGACTGCTCCAGTCAGAGGCATCTTTACCTTAACCAAATGACCCCGGTGGACCCACCAAGGAGGCCTTCCCAATCCCTGAGAGGGTTCTGGGGTATTTGTCCTGGTGAGTTGGGGCACGGTGCCATACAATCTGATCATTGCTTTTAGTGCCTAGATAGGGAGTCACCTGTCTTCATGTGGCGGGGAGCACCACTGTCTTTTCAGAACCCACCCAACGAAAGGGTCTGGCACCAAATAGGTCGAAATGTGCTTCCCCAACAGCGAGCACTCTTTTGAGAACTTGGTTTTAAAGCATTCTTGCTTTGGCTTTTTTGGGGCTCCTGGCATCGCTACTAGGAGCAAGTACGCTACTAGGGGCTCCTGGCCTTAATACTAGGGGCAAGAAGCTACTAGTAACAAAGGGCATCGCTACTAGTAACAAGAAGCTATTAGGGGGTAGGCCGTAGAGGTGAGGTAGTAACTTAAGTAGCTACTACCTAGGAAGCTACTACCTAGGACGCAGGATAGCTCACGTGTGTTCAAGGAAGCGCTCCCACTATTCATTTGGTTGCTAGATTTTTAGGGAAACTTGACTATGCTTGGCATGCCAATGTCAGGACAAAGTTGCAGTAAGAACCATGCACAAAACCTGGTGGAATGTTGGATGCATCTGCTGCAAAGACTGTCGAAGTACCAATGCTGCAAGCTTTCATTGAAAGCTCTGGGGCACTTGCACACTTCCGGATCTCTGTCTTCTTCTTTGCTGGGAGGTATTCCAAAAAGGTGTTGTGCTCACACAAGTGAAAGTCCATCACCTCTCGATGAATCTTTGCGCGCGGCAACTCTTCATCAACATACTGGAATTGCCTGAATTGACTAGTCCTCCAACATTGTGGAATCAGCATGATTATGTATATTAATATATTACATAGTGCTTTTGTGTGCAACCCTGCCTCTTCTGGAAAGTCTGCACATTCCTGGCACATGGGGTCAGAAAAGGGAGTCGGGAGATCTGGAATCACAGCTATCGCGGCAGTGCCTTCAGCCAAAATGTTGCAGGACATTACACGAAATGTTGCAGGTTGGAGGATTCGTCAGTTCAATGAGTCGTTCCGTTTAAGGAGATTGTCCCAACCACCACCACCCGGTGTCAGTCAGGAGCAACTCGGATCTTCCTGGGATGTAGTGGAAGATCCAAAGAACAGTTGCCTCTTTCGGCGTAGATTATCGTCTCGACGCGGCAGAACGACGCTCCTTCTCCAAAGCCATCATTTTCACCCAGCACAACACGTCTAGAAGGTCATCCTCCTCTATCGATCCTGGTCCATGGCCTGAAACCGGAGAGAAGACTCACAACCAGTGCATGCGGCGCTGCACCGCTTGATCACCAAAACGATTGTATCCGCAAACGCCCAAAGGCCATGGGACCCGAAGGACCCAAAGGAGTTGGATCCGAAACGATTCTCTTCAGAAACTTCCGGTGGAGCCAAGAAATGGAACGGACTGGACTGGACTGGCAAAAGAACACCAAGGACAAGCAATATTCCCGCCTTGTGGTGACCTACAGTATAATCTTAATAGTAACTTGAGTGACCTGGTATATTCAAGTAGAATCGTTATGAGGGGATCTCTTCAAGTACCAAACAAATCCAACAAATCACCTCACTTAGTATAGTGGTTGCTAGCCGCTGCTCGCAAGGCCATATCAACCGTTCTGAAAAGCAACCAGCGAAACATGTCGAAGAATTGTCGCCACCGTTGTTGTCCGCTGCACATACGGTAAAGCGGCAAAACCACCACTGCTTCGAAGCTGGCCGAGCAACCAGTTCAAACAAGTAGGCCGTCTCCATCTTAGACTTCCGAAAGAAGGTCCTGGGACTTGTTTGCTTGTCGCTGCCAAGTATGTTACGTGCATTTTTGTGGTTAGGTAGGGTGATACGAAGATTGATCTCAGTTGTCCATTCACAATGCCACAATTCGACGCAAACCCACTCAAACAGGTTTGGGCTTGTAACATCTTGTAACCCTGTGTCCATCAGCACGGTTCGGGTGGAAGTTTCGTATGGTTTGGTAGATCCCTCAAGTGGTGGCACAATGGAAGAACACCTGCACTATCAGGGATATATATATATATGGATCCGATTCTTTGAGCCATCATTTTAGTACATGTGTCGACTCAGCCATTTGGATGGTCTGGACTGGGATTTTCTCAGGACCTTCCCACCAGCCCTTCAGCCACTAGCACATCATCTGCACTACGTACAAGTTCACGTGACTAGACAGAGGGTGGCATCCAAGCAAAAAGAGTAGAGGGCTGAGACACTCAATCTGCTCATCGCAGTTGTCCAAGTAATAGCCCAGGCCTTCTGAAGAGCGACGTCAAGAGAACAAAAAAACACCAACAACATGGCGGGTTTGCAAGGGGAGACCCCTTTGGCCTGGCCCAATTAATATATGTCGTAAACGACGAAGAAGTAAAAACTCTTGCGGTGACAAACTGTTTTGTGTGCTTTCATAGGGTTCCACGTTTATACATACATGAGAAAACCTTCCGTGACATCTGGTCAAAACCTGGTAGAAGTGGGCTTGTGGAAAGGTTCATGCCTAAAAGGTTCATGCCTAAATGATGATCCTAAATGCACCAAGCAGTCGTCATCTCGATGTGCCATAGCTGTTCATAGCTCATGTTCCTCTTCTCCTGTCCGATGCAAGAAATCCTCGCCTCAGGTGGTAACTCTAACTTGCCTTTCCCTCCCAGGGCCGCCAGGGCCTTGCCTTTCTCTCCCAGCTTGAAGGCAAAACCCACACGTGGCCCATCGAAGCGCTCCACAGGCTCAAAGCACCGGGTCGCCTCTTTTCACCATTCGAGAAGGGTGTGTTGGAACCCGCGCGGTGAGGAAGACGACGTTCTTTTTTGGAATCCCGGACGAACAAGACGAAAAAAATACTCCAAAAATACTCCAAAAAAAGACAACAAACAAAATACATCAACACACTATGATGCCATGTTTTGCTTCTTTCGGGTAACTGCAAGTCACCCACATGGAATCGTCGGCTGAAGCAATTCGTGAAGCAATCTGCGAAAATCTGCAAACGGTCGTTGTCAAGTTTGGCACAACATGTATAGACTGTATAGACTTCTCTAGCTTTGTTGGATCAGCCATCTGATGCAAGTGTTGCTTCTGTTTGCCAGCAAAGGCTGGAATCGCTACCATTTTTTGACTCTGAAATTGAAATGATGTCGTTTTTCACGACTCAGCAACAAACCCAAAGGTTTTACTTCTAAAGCGCATCTGTACTGGAAAAGGACAAACGTGTCATCTCATCTACTTTCAAAGTTGGTAATTAGAGTTGTGGACAGGCTCACTTCACCAAATCAACCTGACTCCACAGTGCGCGCTGTTCGATCAACATCGACTTGCCTTGCCCTCTGTCTTCAGAGATGGCTCCATGGTGTTTGCTCAAAGCACACGTGTTGAGGAGACCCAGCAGAACCGTTCCGTCTGACGAGTGCATCTTTTCTGACTGCTGATGACTGGGTTGACTTGGACTTCATTCTCCAGCAAACTGATCAATGCACTGAAGTCATGGTTTGCAGGCTTCGCGATCCATGATCTTAATGTCAACAGCATCTGCGAACCTGAACCACGCGCTTTGAGAGGTCCGAGAAGAGTAAATTGCTCTGCCCAGGCTGGTGGGACTTGGTGCCACTATATGCGGACCATGTTTAGGATTGCTATTTGTCTCATTCAGACTTCGAGAAACATCAGACCTTTCTTGAAGGACCGATCCGGCTAGAGAATAATCTGTCGTTCTATAGTGACATGATCACATGAGAACATGGGAGCGCCAGAGTCAATATATATATATATATGCAAATGCAAAGGCTGTTTTCCTCTAACTCAACAAAAGCACAGGGACTCCTGAGCACTACCAAACTAGGCTTGAGAAAAATAGTCTTGTTGATTGTTTTGATCTCATTCATGCTTTGTTTTGAAGGTCCGTGTGACTTTAATGAATCATCTCGAAAGTAGACCTGTACCCAGCGGGAATCCAACAACTGCAACCTGGATAGATATCTCGTGCACTAATCTGAACATCTTCAGACTCTGCTGGCCAAGAAAACCACCTAGTCACAGCGATCCTTTCCTATTCTTCTTTGAAGTCAAAAGTATCCAATATCCAACCTCTAGCTTCCGACTTATTGGCTGGAGATTCTCAGGTCTCCTATAGAGACCCTTTAGAGAGGCCCCCTTCTGATTCAGGTGAGGAGCTGGATGTAAACAATTGGCTGCCCCTTCAGTTGAAGCACCAGCACAGACCAGGTTGGCACCTGTTGGCAAAAAAGTGCCGGTGACTCATCCAACTCCAGGCAGAACGCGCGAGGGTCCACACAGAAGCTTCGCATGAGGTCGCTCACTGAGAAAGAGGACCTGAAGGGGCGGCGGCCCGAAACCCAGCGTGGACGACTCGGCAGGAAGCAAAGTGTCACCTCTGACGACCTCGCATGGATACTGTTGGACAACAATGTCTCACATCAAGCCTCGTCTGGAAGAGAACATTAGATCTGTCCTCCGATAACTGAATCCACTGGGAGAACCTCTGTGGCCTTGGGGGCCAAAGACCCAAGTCTTGGCACCGTTCTCATACTTGGTCCCGGACACCGTGCAATGTGCCGGGTAGCTTCGGCATGTCATCGGTGTATTTGGCCTGGTCGTGGTTATCTAGAACAACCGGAGGAACTGCCGGGTAGCTGCGGCGTAGGAATCCTAGATTTCTTGGGCCACAAAATCCTCGAAATAGCAAGGACCAGTTGAGCCAAAATTCATATTTATATAAATTTAGTTCTATCAAACTCACCCGAAGGAACGGTTTGGCAACGAGGACAAACTAACTAACTAGTAGTATGCTAGTGAAATTAATCTCAAAGTCAAACATCGAATTCTGTGCTGGACATAAAATCTCCAACATACCAACCCGGAGAACTCGGTATATTCCTGAAATGGAGTCGTTTCCTCCCTGTTTCTCGCCTCCCCTGTGCATTGCTGCAGGGCCGAGGAATGCATCAATGGTTGACCTACCTGCCGTGTCGCTTGTGAAAAGAGGCAGCCAGCCATACACTACGACACGCACCTCAATTCCAGGAAGCGGTGGACTGATGTGGCCTAAAAACTAGGGGGGTTGGTCTACAATGCTATCAGCCAATCAACACACTTGAGTGGGAGGGGGTGGACGAAAGGTAGGTCATTAAGTTCAACTTTCAAAGAGGTGAGAAAAGAGAGAGAGAGGGAGAGAGAGACAGAGACAGACAGAGAGAGAGGGAGAGAGAGAGAAGAGAGAGAGAGAGGGAGAGAAGGAAGAGAAAAGAGAGAGAGAGAGATCCGTGGGATTTGAAGAGCAGCAGCAGCAGCCGTGGCAGCAACAACAGCAGCAGCACCAGCTGAGAATCTCAATACCAATCCAAGCACACGAAGCCACGGTACCAGTACAATTGAAGGACAATTCACCCGTCCCAGGGTGGAGTTGATCCACTGAATCGCCTTTAACGAGCCCAAAGTCATGTCGTGTGGCAGTATTTGAACTCAGGTAGCTGAAGCTTCCTTTCGTGACATGAAAGGAGCATATGTTCACCTGGAACCTCCATGTTACAGAGATTTCTGTGCTACGTGCCCCAAGATGCCCCAAGTATGTGGTGACGGTCAGATTCAGATTCCACCCATAGAGCGTTTGCAAACGATCAACATAGTGGGCTTTGCCCGATCAACTTGTGACGCTCAGCAAGTACTTAGGATGTTAATCTTCATTTGGCGAGGCTCAGTGAAAAATAACACTTTCTAAGTTCCGCATGCCGGGAGTCCTTAAAAGGGTTAACAGCTTTATTTTCCAACAGTTTCAAATTTCATCCGGCACAAAGCAAAGCTCCTTTTCCCAATAGACTCGAAGCCAGAATTTCTTGCTGCCTAGCTATCTCAAGACAAGTCCGAATACGTCATATAGGCACGGGCATGTTGTTGGAGACATGCAACGAAGAAAACAGTGTCATGGGGTCCACAACAGTCCAAAG